TCTCATCTGGACTTTGCATCACTCCCTTTATGACGCATGGACACTGCGACTTCTCTTGGATGCCGTCAATGAGGCTTACCAGAGTGACGCCCTTCAGGTCAAACCCCGACTTGCCTTCCAACAGCTAATTGAACACATCGGAAGCAGAGATCTGGCTGCCGATCGTTCATTCTGGGCATCATACCTTTCAGGGGCTGGTAACTCCCCGCTGTTCGGCTACCTGTTTGTGCGCGATCCTGCGAAGGACATGAGAGCAGACTACCAGGTTTTGCTGCCACAAAGGGTAGAAGGAGCTACTTTGACAGCGACGATAGCATCAGCTTGGGTCCGGGCGGTTAGCCGTCTGACTCAATCTAACGATGTCACCATTGGATACCTCGTCACTGGCCGCGCGGCGTCCATCCCCGGAATTCAACAATGTGTGGGACCGGCGATTTCCAAGGTCCCGCTCCGTGTCCGGCTCGAAAGTGGAGACACCACCGCCGATGTTTCGAAGAAGGTCCAGAACGAACTCACCCGACTCATGCCGTACGAACTTTCTGGATTGAAGACGGTCCAGAGCGCCAGCCAAGATGCAAGGGATGCTTGTCGTTTCCCTGTCGATTTGACTGTCCACCCCCATGGCACACTTTCTTTCGCAGGCGAGGGCATTGGGATGCACTTCGTAGGAGGCGAGGTCGCTAGAGCCCCTCCAGGTGGTTTCTCTGTCGAATGCACCATTACAGACAGTGGCATCGACGTCACTGCTTTTTGGGACAGCCGAGCGGCCCGAAAAGAGAGTATCAACTCGTTGTTGGAGGATTTTAAGACAGTTCTGCTCTCTTAATTTCACCGGGATTCCACGGCGTTTATTGGCGTGTGGTCAAGTTTCATCAAGAGTTTTCCTTTCTTTTTCTTCTATTGAGCCAGAGCCAGTTCCTTCCATAGATTCTTTTGTTCCTTTCGATTGGAGTTTCTAGAAAATAGACGATATTTAATTTGGCACCTTCCAATGATTAAGACAGGAACCTGTGTGCATCGGTCGCCCCCGGTGACAAGATTCGCCTACGCATACTAGGAATGTTCGGCCGATCTGGATTGTTACCCCTTCCGTTCAGAACCTTGGGACGGTTGGGTGTTGTCGAAAGTTTAACAGCTGCGCAAGAAGCTTCGCGATCGCGTGTGTCGGAACCTGCCATGAATTCAATCCTTCAAAGTTTTAAGCTTCTTCGACACTGGCTCAGAAATTCTACCCCATGTGTTTGACAACAAGCTCTTACTACGCGCATGCATTTTAGTGAGATCCGTGTCGTAGCAAGGTTTGACCAAAGTCTGTGGAATCTTGTCTTTGGTCTCGGCGTCATTATTCTTCCCGAACGAAATCGTGCGGTAATGTAACGACAATGGTCACATTGCATGAGGTGTTGGAATACTTGATTACTAGTTTACTCGTTCAAATCCGCGCCATACTCCAAGAGTAACTTCAAAATTTCGATCCTCTCCAGCACCACCGCCAAGTGTACCAATGTTCGCTTCTAGGTATCCTTCAAATTGACGCAACGCTTCAAAAGCCCTTCAAAGGGCTGCAATCGACTTTTCTCCTCGCACCATTTCAACAATCCTCGCAGTTGTTCGATATCGTCGCGAACAATAGCTTTGTGGAAGACAGTTGTTCCCGAATCATCTGACAACGTGATATCGGCCCCCAAATCCAGCAGCGTGCGAGCCGCGACAGTGTCACCTCTTTCCACAGCTAGATGAAGAGCCGTCTTCTCTTCCCTGACTTGTTCTTGGAATCAACTTTGCCTCCGCTCTTGATGAGAAGCCGCGCGATTTCTAGATTACCGCGTATCACGGCGCTAAGCAGCGGTGTACACTCTGTTGTCGAATCATGCGAGGCGGCAGAACTGCAAGAGCTGCAAGAGCTTGCTGTCGATGATGGCGTGAGCCCTTTCAGACTCGAGGGCGTGCTGACAGTGTCGGTGGTCGATGCAGCCGTGGAAAGGTTCGCAGAGTCGGCAGAATCCTGGTGCAATGCAGTCAGTGACTGAAGAGCGCAGAGTTGAGAGAATCGAATGGCGCCTACGTTGAGATCGCTGAGGCAACTGAACGCGTCGCTTGGGCTGTCATGTGTTTGCGGTTGACTCATTGTGAGTGTCAAAGGCTGCTCGGACTGTGACTGTCTGGACTGAGACGATGTTTCCGTTACTTGTAGTGGTAATGGCGGTTGCGGTTGACTTGGAGGTTGTGGTGCCACCAATTGGGTGGATGGGGTTGCTGCTGGTGGTGCGATCGACGAATTCAGCGCAGCATCGATGCAGTCCAAACCTGCGGAAGCGTTTGGCGACTCAAAATCATCCAATCCTGGAACATCCAGAAAGTCCACCGTAGAATCGGGTTGATATGATGTATCGAAGAACTCTGGTGTTCGCGATCGGGTGTTGCTACCGCTATTATTACTGGTCTCGTTCCATCTCTGCTGTGCTGCTGCAGATTTCAGATGTGGCAGATCGAAAAGAATTGCTTCGGCAAGTTCGATTCGCATGCGTTGTCGTGAGCCTGAGGCACTTTCTTGTCAGTCTGGCACTTCCGTATCTCGGGCAGGATGGTCACCATGGTCGTGAAGAGAGCCCAACGACGCCAAGCGGCTTCCATTCTGGAGACTGAACTCACGGTAATTCCTCTGTGCAATCCTGTTCTGCGCTTTGCGACGTTCGTTGATGTCGGTGATGTGCGACCAATCATCATCCCGTGAAGTCATTGCCATATCTGGTGTAAGCGCCTGGTAGCAACGCGTTTGCAAGCTGCATCTGACCAAGTGGTTGTCCGACAGCTACCGGTGCTATTGAGATATACGGAGTAGTTGTCCGACAGTCATTGAGATATAGACTGCTTGTATAATTCAACTTGACACGCAGCCCGCCGGGACCCCTCACGGCGCGTGGAATCTATTGAGGTTGTTGATACCATGCTCCAAAGTATAAAATCTGGAGCGTCACATAATAACGTTTCGCTGAACCTAGGGCAGCCTGTTCGTTCCATTCCCCTGGATGCGCGTTAAATGACTCGCGATACGTCTCAATGGACACAAACAATGTCCGACAAAACGACAACGCCGCTTACAACCAGAAACTCGGGTTTCTCGTTGTGACTCTACCACTTGTTTGTAGAAATGTCTCCAAGCACGCCAGTCAGTGAAGTTCTTGGCATCATGTCCTCAGTTGTCAGGTCTGAGCTGTTGTCTGATTTTGCAACGTGGTTCACGAATGCAGCTAAGCTTTAGACCCATGTAAGTGCCAGGACCCTGGAAACCTTACTTTTCGTGCTCGATGCACAAGCGAGAGTTTCCCGAGTCATTAGACTGGCTCGCCGTCGGGACTAAGAACCGACTGAACATTGGGAGCCTTCCAGAAGATTGATGGACCTCTCAGCATGTGGTCTGGGAAAGTTTCTCTTGCCTGAACGCAAGGAAGTTTGACTAGTCCGCTACGCCGCTAAGCCGAAGTGCTGACGCACAATCTGCCCGGCTTGCCTACGTGAACTCTGAAATTTCCGACAGGCATGGTTACAAGCCGCGTTAGTTGAAATAAAATAGCATAAAGCCTCGTAGCGAGTCAAACGACAAATGTCTTGTCGTTGGTTGGTTTCTATACGAAATTCGCCTTGTGTTTTTTCTATTGCCTCGCACCGGGCTTGTGGTGGTACGGGGCCTTTCAACTCGGACCGCGGATAAACGGCCTCTCCCTGTCTACCCACAGACGTCCGGCATAACCTCACCTCGGCACGGCAGAAACGGCCGTAACCGTACGCATATCCCGAGGTTGCAACTCAATGATTCAGTGCCCCGACGAAGAGGAGCTCTCGCCCGCAGGCACACCCCGCATAGATTGCAATAATGAGCTATCATAACCAGGGGATGTTCTTTTCCGATCGTTACATTGACTCCAGAGTGGACACGATCTCGATGGGTATTGCTCTCCAATACAGCCCCAGATTCCTAGAGTAATCAAATAAACTTCGATTCGACAATTGTTGGTGGCTTATACGCAGCGGTCTTCTCACCCCCGCATCATATCGTAAGGTACTGTAAGGTACTGCCGACTTTTTGGGTCCACTTCTGCCTCATCTTGGTCGAACAAAAGTCGCGGCAAAAACGTGGCCATTGTGCGATTGATCGTTGGTTCCTTGCGAAAGATAGTTGTGTAAACAGTGCTATGTGGAGAGTGAGAATCCAGGCACAAAATGCTTTTGCAAATCCATGCATTAATCTCGGTCACTCCCGGCTGTAAGAACCTTCAAAAAAGCTGCGAATTCGGCCCCTAGGTCTTTTCCTAATACAGATATCGTATGGATGGAAGGTGTAGTACACTGTTTTGCTCAGGCCAAAGAGGGCTAACATATCCCAATGCGTCTCACATTTGTGTCAGACCTAAAGAATGGTGAAAGCTTGCGGGCAACACGCAAAGAAGATATTCAGAATGATTATGTAATACAGACAGCAGTTGATTTGGATCTTCGCGGAGTTGCCCTCCAAGCTATTTGGTCTGTTCTTGCAATATCATATTGCTGCGCACTCGGCTTAGCCATCCCGAGGAGTCCGAAGGTGCGGTACTTTGACGACTTTACGAAGGATATTTGAAAAGCACTATACCTGTCAAAAGCAACACAGCGACAGTATCGATTACGGCGACGAAGTTGACATTGCCCCAATAAAGATGGTGGCGACGAGAGCAACCGTATACCTACATGGTGGAAATCTCAGTTGAGGCGATTTGAGTTGAATAGGCAGTTGTTTGAGTATGTGTATCTGAATTGGTCTTACTTGTCTGGGAAATCGGGGAAGTTAAAAACACCGCTTGCTCCAAGCTGTGCCACCGATTTGCGCTAAAGCTAGTACAATGGCGCTCAACGCAGTACGCGTCTTGTCAATTTTAGGTTCGAGGGGAGTCATAAGTACTGATTAGAAGTGGTGATACAAACATTAGATGCGGTACTGACAACAAACTCATTCTCCAGCACCGCTACAACAAGTCAATCGCCTGTTTGGAGTGGTCCACGCCAGTGATTTTGAACAACACCCAGTTCCAGAACGTCGTGGCTTCTCCAATGAAGGAAAGCAGGCGCATGATTGCCCTGGCCTTGAACTTTGACGTGTCGGCCGCCTTACCATGCTGCGTTAGCACTGATAAAACATGTGGCCTCGAGCAGCTTACCAATGGGTCGTTGCCTCCGCTTTGTGTAACCCATTCAAATGCGCGAGGTATGACAGCTTCTTCATAAGTCTTACAAGCTTCCATGAAGTCTTGCTCACTAGCTGCATTTGCTGTCTTTGCCTTCTCCGCCAACCAAGTTAGGAGAGGAAGCGCATCGGCAGTATCAAGCATGGACTGGTTGCCGCCCATACCCCTGGAAAAGTATGTCAACAAATCTCTGGACACTTGCAGCTTTGCGGTCCTCCGTTGCGTACCTAGTCGGAAGCATGGCATGCATGGCATCTCCAAGGAGCCACACATGCGGGTTTCCAAGGCGTTCATCATCAGGTGAAGCTACAGCACGACGCCAGTCGAGAGGAGGACGAGAAGAAACCCTGGGAGTCCAGCAATACATATCTTGCCCGCGAAACATGTTGAATATTTGGTGACTGAAGAGACTCGACGTAAGTACAGCTACAAAGTTTGGGTTATTCCGTCAATAAAGACTAACATCTGATTCACTTACTGCTGTGGGGACCAATCGCGGATAAGCAGCTCAGCTGCATCCCATCTCTCCTCCGTTGTCAATGCGTCAAACTCTTGAGGCATTCTATCACGGTGCCATCCTATTCCAAGCATGGTAGATATGCCCTGTTCAGAGCTATATTTCGAGTCGGCAGCGGTTCCAACCTCTCTTGGAAGGTACACTATCAAACAAGTCGTCAACATGACGAGGGGTAGTAAGCAGATTTATAAGTCATCTCTCACCTTGGAAGAAAAGGGTGGTCCCGCCATCAACAGTACCTACTGGAGAATGCAGCTGTTGGGGAATATCGTTGAAGACTGAGACTGGGAAGTCTTTCCTCGCAAGGAATCCATGATGGGAACTGACCTCTTCTAGATTGTTGAGCCCTAAGAGGCAGTTGACCTTGGATCTGTCAGCCCCAGATACCTAAGATTCACAGATATGCAGCAGTTACCTTGGATCCACTTCCGTCCGCCCCAATAAGAACATCACAAGTGTCAGACGTATCATCATCAAAGAAGGCCTTGACAAAGCGCCGACTGCCATCTCGGTGTATCTCGTAATTCGTAAATCGCTTCTCATTGTGGAGCTTTCCCATCTTGTGAAGTGGCTCGGAGAGAGCCTCTCGAAGAGATACGCGGTTGATCGGGGTCGACCTCTGATATCCCGGCATCTTCCCCGGCTCAAACATCTTATTAAAGTGCTTGTCGTACACGATAGGTGGGTTTGAGACGGTCGAGCGAGCGAATCGTCTAGCAATAGAGTCGATTTGCCCTTGTTCCAGGCATGCCCGCATGCCGATAAGAGCCCCCGCGCCTAGCCGAATTTGGAATCCCTCGCGTTTCGAGTGCTTCTCTGCGCGCTCATAGACTTCGAAATCGATGTTGTGTTTGGCAAGACCATTGGCAAGCAAACTGCCGGCTAGCCCAGAGCCGATGATGATGACTTTGAAAGAGGCCATGGTCCTTCAAGATATCGAGGAAGAGTTCTAATACTCGCGCAGGAAAAGGCAAGCATACTGATGATTACGAGCACGCCCATTCCCGTGGAATTATATGTTGGATATCTTGGTTCATCGTCTGATGTCTACGAATCGCAGTTGCGTAGCGTCCAATCAACTTAAGCACCGCGACACCTTCGGTAAAACGAACCCACCGATTCGGGAGGTCGTGGTCTCCGACTACCGACTTCAGAGGCGGCGGACGCAGTGTTGAGGGTCCGACGCACCAGTTGTCTTTAAGGACGGTGTGATTAAAATGCTGTTCTGAGACATTTGGAACCCTACGAATGTTTGCCGACTGCTGAGTGCAACCATGCTGCACTAGATAATTAGCTGCCGATGAGGAGTTTCCGAAATGTGACATGTGCACTTTCAAATCTTTGATCACATCGTTCCCGATACAATGGGTTGATATGGGATGCCCACTACTTGCTCATGCATATTCAGGCTCAAGGCTGAGGGATGCAGAGGAGATTGGGGACTTCTAGAACATTTCCTGGAACATGCGCCTGTTCGCACAAGATGTTGCGTAACCCTTGCTAGCAACACTATTCAATCGCGCACAATTATTCTGTAGGCAAGCAGCCATCCATTGCTTGGATGCGCATGATCTACAGGGCACGTGGCTGACATTCTCGGTGCTCTGCCTTATCAACTCGCAAAACCCGGGCGAGACCAACCGTGCTCGGATTATCATTTCCCATTCGTCGCGGCCGACAGTACATCAAGAATGATAAACAATCATGTCTTGGGGCACGGGCGACCTTCATATGTCATCATGATCCTCCTTGCACAAATCCCATCACACAATTGTCGATCGCTGCTGCATCCGTCCTCCCCTAGCTGGTGTGGCTTGATGACATCATGAGGTCGAGCGGCAAGCTCCCCAAGCTCCTCAAGCTCCCTTATCAGAAGGACCTCCCAAGAACCCTAGAGCTTCAACCACACAAGATCTCATACCAAATCACGACTGGATCAATCAAATCGCAATCATGGCACACCTAGCAACTCGTCAAAGGGTATTTCCCGCACTCGCGCAGCAAGCGCGCACTCTGCCCTTCGCCCTTCGCACAGTCAGCGCCCCGCGACGTCATCTCAGCGACAAACCAGGGCTGGAGTCAACAGACATGCGAGACGCGGCGGACGCAAGAAAGACTTCCCCTCCTCAGCCCAAGATCACAAACTCCAGCGTGCCGGGGCAGGGACCGGACAAGCTCACCGAGGAGCAGAAGCGCGAGGTCGACGAGCACAACCGCGATTTCGAGAAGAAGCACTACCGAGCGCAACCAGCTGCCGATGACAAGGTCGACAAGAAATTCTGGGGAAGCGGGACTGAGGATACCAAATAAGTGCATTTCAAACCGCAACGATCTGGAAGGGGTGTTGCCAGCTGAGGGGCTGTTTGTAAGATACCAGGAGCGAAGTTAAGGGTTACTGCATTGGCCAAATACTCCAAAACCAATTCAGCATTTGGGAGAAGATGGCATGCGCGAATGCATTGCTTCGGAGAATCACACACTTGTGGAATGTGTTATCGTGATCATAACCTGTGACATAAGGACAATCCGAATAACTTCCCTTGGCGTGCTCGGATTAAACAGACTGGTCGATCATCGAGGATAGCGGCACTTGTCATCCCGTCCATCAGTCTCATTATTACTGGCACATTGTCACTGCAAGCCCACAGAATGAAAAATGACGGCGCTCTTCAGGTTTGCATTGACACGTCTTGGGCTGCTCCGCCATGAATCGTGGTAACGGATTTTGACAACTGCCGTCCCATGCATCTGTTTCAATGTTGATGGCATTACGCTATCCCCGCATCGTCGGACATATTGATGTTGTATGATGTCCGCAGAATTATGGGACAGGAGTGTTTTTGCTTGAACTGTATTGGTTATTGGTGCATTTGATCCGAATGGTTCAGATGATATTGGGGTTTCTTGGGTCGCATCTTCCGTGGTCTTGGCAATCAAAGATGAAGGCATCTCCAAAGCAAAAGCCCATGAACACTATGTTTCTGTCATGAAACTGCCTAAAATAGCCTTCCTCATAAGACTTAAGCTTGAATGATATAAAGTTCCAACGCCCACGGGCCGCTGTAAATCACGCAGTCCCATGTTGGGATTGGGGTTGATGTCTTGGCAATAACATGAGGGCAGTCAACTGCGTGTATTTTTAGTAGTCAAAGACGGTCTTTTGTCCGATACTTCAGTCAAAATGCCACGCCAAGAACGAAGAACAGACAAATGGCCTCATTCTCAGGGTCCTCTCTATTTGATCAACCAATTATTCCGCAAAACCTCTTTGGTGATCGCGGTGTTCCCACCCTCGAGGCCTTGGCGCCCCCGCCAGCTGTCGGCAGCTCCCTAAAAGCTCCTCCCGAGCTTGCCAAGCTCCCACGCGCCGCGGTTCACAGCTTCGAAGCTACATTGCGAAAGCAGACTGAGCCACCTCCGTGTCTCTGTTCAACTTGGCAAAAACCAGAGAAAATCACGAACTGGACCCAGTGGCGACGCAGCATCCCAAGTGTACATCTCTTGGCGGAGGTGCGATGCAAAGTTTCAGAGAGGCGTAGGGGTACCAAACCTCGCGACAGTACCACTGGACACGGGCGGCTCTAGAGCTTGCGACATAATCTAGCCTTTGGGGGCTTGCGAGGAAGGCGTACGCCATGCTTCGTTGGCGGCGATGGGCATCTCCACGTGGGAGATGGTGCTTGCTGTTGTGGAAAGACAGCTCAGAGGCGACGCGTCTGACTGAGGCTGTGGGCTAGAATCCGACGTAAGTATCTTGACCATCAATGGAGAGTTTGGACCAAGGGACCCTCAAAATCGCTGATCCTTACAGTGAGGCCTTGACGGAGGTCGCGAAAGAAGAGAGATCAGCAGCTTTATCGGCCTCACCTTCGTTTTGTGTAGACTCGCTAACCCTCGCTGGAGAGTCTTGGCTGCGCGCACAATTCCTGTGGTCGCCCAGACTTCTGAAGACAGCGCCGCAGTGGACGCGTGACTCGTGACTCGCACCCCCAAAATGCTTCACTCACAGTACATCGTCCAGCCATAAGCAGCCAGCAATCGAGCTTGGCTGCGGGTACTATCGCTCATGCCGACTTGTTGCAATTGGATGCCGTACAGGATCAAGGATGAGTGCCTACAGTGACCTTCGGTCAACAAGAAGGGCAATCCGGGAGAAAGGACAGCCTCGGAGGTTCCATTGAGCAGCATGACATGCCATGCAAGTCTTCCGTGGAGGGAACCGAGGAAGAAAGAGGAAGATGGAAAGGGGAGCTGCTCGCGTGCTCTCCTGCCCAGTCGATTGCCACATGTGCTCTCAGAAGAGCAGGAGGGCACGCGACAGCAGCTGTGGTTGAGTCTTTCTCGGAGTCTAGCGTCAGATCTCGCGTCTTGGCAGGCATCACGGAAAGTTCACCACCAAGAAGTCGCAAGCACGACCTGGTGCGTCGACAGCGTATTGAAACAGCAACGTGCCTGCGAAAACGGCTGTGACTGGCTGGAATGGTCTGACGGATCGGTCGTCGGTACCTCGAAAGCCAAGAAGGCCAAGATCCAAGGTGGCACCCGTCTCGCCAATACCAGCGGCCGATGTGGATGGTCGCAGAGCTCGGCGCAGACTGGGCATCCGTCAAAACATCCACAACATGGGTCTTGATGGCCACTTGCACTGACGAGAAGGTGCAATTGAGATTTTTTTTTATCTGACTTTTTCAAAGTCTCTTTCCCGGCTCAATGTGCGGCGAACACCACCATGGCCAGGGTAGCAGCGACAAATGGCCCTTGAAGAGAGAGGAGAATGGAAGATAGAAGGGGGAGAGGAGAAACACCCACTCCTCCCCCACGCTGACCAGTCCTCGTCTCCAGAGTCCAGACATCCATCCTCCAATGCTGGGAACCTCTCCAACCTCACCCTCTCTATAAAGGTCGCGGCGCTCCAGGTCTTTCCTGTGGCCCTCGACCTTGAGAGACCCGACAAGCCTCTTCTCTACTTGTACTTCAAGCCTCCACCCCTCCCAGGGCCGCAATCGTCGTGGTGAAGATTCATCTTCCTACTTCACCCCCTCGGCTCCCTCTTCCTACTCCCCCTAGTACGAATATCGATACCCGTATTCGACTTTCTCCCTCAACATCGCCGTCATGGCTGCCCTCCCGCAGTATGACTGGATCATCGCCTTGATCAGCATCGCCTTCTGCGGCAGCTCCTTCGGAAACGGCGCCAACGATGTCGCCAACTCCTACGCCACTTCGGTGGCCGCCCGGACCCTGACCATGCCCCAGGTCGGCTTTCTGTCCATGTTCACCGAGTTCTTCGGCGCCGTCGTCCTCGGATCCCGCGTCACCGGGACGATCAAGAACAACATCATCGGCCTCGATCGCTTCCGCGGAACTCCCTCGACCCTCATACTGGGCATGGGCTGTGCCGAGTTCGCCAGCGCCTTCTGGTTGCTTACTGCGACCAAGATTGGGTACCCCGTCTCGACAACACAAACCATTGTCGGCGCCCTGGTCGGCGTTGGTATCGCTGCCGAGGCCGGCGTGTCCTGGGGCTGGAAGGACGGAAGTGTCTCCCAGGTCGCTGCGTCTTGGGTTGTTGCTCCGTTGATTTCGGCAGTCTTCTCTGCTATTCTCTTTGGAAGTCTCAAGTTCGCTGTTCTTGAGCGCAAGGATCCCTTCGAGAAAGCCCTCAAGGCCATCCCGTTCTACCTTGCATTCACGGCCGGAGTCCTCGCTCTTTTCATCACCGTCGAGGCCCCTGGCGCTCCATCGCTTGAGGAGCTTGGTGCCGGCATTGCATGCGCGATCGTGCTCGGTACTTTCTTCGGAGCTCTTATTCTTGCATACGTCTTCTTCTTGCCCTACGCTCACCGAAGGCTTGTGAAGAAAGACACCCGCATCAGATTCCGCCACGTCGTCCTCGGCCCCCTTTTGTGGAAGGAGAACCCCCCCATCTTCTGGCCTGCGAAGGGCGACGAAGTGGTCATCGATTACTTCGCTCGAGATGTGCCAGCCGCTGGTAATGAAGACATTGAAAAGCAAAAGACCGAGAACAGTGCCGACAAGGGAGAGAAGCTTGTCAACGATACCCCGGCCCCCCTGTCGCTTGAGGACGTTGAGCGTGGCAAGACGGCAGTGCCGACGGGGGTTGAACAATACGAGCGGAAGCCTGAGCCCGAAGAACGGTTCCTTGCCCCGACTGCCCACCNGTGTTGAACAATACGAGCGGAAGCCTGAGCCCGAAGAACGGTTCCTTGCCCCGACTGCCCCCCTCCCCATCCACAACCCTCAGCGGATCTGGAGTTTCATCAAGTATTTCTTCCTGCAGGGTGTCACCCGGGACTGCGTTACGCATGCGGACGCTCAGCTTGCCTCGGTTCACGACAAGGCCAAACAGTACGATAACCGTGCGGAGCACCTGTTGACATACGCTCAAGTCGCCAGCGCCATGATGATGTCCATCGCTCACGGTTCCAACGATGTTGCCAACGCAGTCGGACCTTGGATTGCCGCGTACCAAGTCTACATGACTGGCGAAGTCACTGAGAAGGGAGAAAGCCCAATTTGGATTCTCGTTGTTGCTGGTTTCCTCCTCGGCGCTGGCTTCTGGTTTATGGGCTACTCCATTATCAGAGCCATGGGCAACAAGCTTTGCAAGATGACGCCATCAAGAGGATTTTCGTGCGAGCTGGGTGCCGCAATCACCGTTCTTCTTGCCAGCCGTCTTGGCCTCCCTGTCAGCACGACGCAATGTTTGACTGGTAGTATTGTCGGCGTTGCCCTGATGAACTTGGACGTCCGCGCTGTCAACTGGCGCCAGGTTGCCTTTGTGTTCTCTGGTTGGTTCATTACATTGCCTTGCGCGGGCTTGATTGGTGGCCTGTTGATGGCAATGTCTCTCAACACCCCTCAGTTCGGCCAGGGTTAACACGTCTGGAATGGGTCGCTTGGGGAAGTGTTTAGCATCAAGGCGTTAACGGTTTTGGTTATATCGGATCTGGGGCACCCTATGGCTGTTGGATGAAGTCGGGGCACTAGACAGTACTTCTTACTGGTATTGATGAGAAAATGATGACAATAGAACATGAGAACAAACATACCCCGCTTTGACTTATTTGTGAAAAAATCGAGCATTTCTTGAGAACAATTACATGATATACTCGAGGACCATGTTGCCGGCGGCCGACCCGAAACATGCCGTTAGCTCGGGTCTCTACGTTGCACTGTGGGCCATTACCTTACAATACTCCAGTGCAACACTGCAGCTCCATCAGGCTGCATAAGTCTACAGCACCCAGGGATCTTGATTTAACGTCATTTGAACAAGTAAAGACTATGTTTCAACTGATCGGCGTGTTCTTAGATTTATGAAATTGGTCAGATGTTTGTCTTCAACGGGACTGAGACCAACCTGACGGTTTAATCGACTAGTCCTGAAGCTTTGATGTAGGCTTTGTCCGTGGCTAGACGTCAACTCCTTGAACAGAGAACCTTGGTAGATCGGGTCATGCGCTAAATACCTTCGCATTTGATTTGTGCCGCTTCATCGTATCGAGGGGATATGCAGTACAAACTAATCTTGCTTTCTCCTTCTAGTTCATCGTGCAGGTCCTCCAACGTCGGAATTGGGCCAACGAGGTGAAAACCCCTTGTCGCGTCAATGAGCGTCATAGCCAGGTCTTACGACATGCGGTAGCCTGGTCAGCATGTGTGGACAGCGGACGATGACTTGAATGTTCATTTGACTTCTGCCGCCGTCGGAAGTGTTCGCTACGTTGATTTCAATTGCGGTTGCTGTACTTCAGGATCGACAAGCCCAGAAACCAACCTACCTAGTGGTCTAGTCGGCTAAGTCCCATAGAAACATCCGTCTTTTAGTTGCCCACTAAACTGCCACGGCTTACCGGGGGGGGGGCGAGGAAGCCTAGATTTGCTCGCTTTCGGGCGGCTTTGGGCAGCCCATGCGGCATCGCGAAAGCTGGGACGATTTCCAAACAGATTAGATATGCGATGAACAATAAGCCTGCCTCGTCATCCGTAAGAGATGGGCGCGAATACTGTTCGGGTGCACTGTGATACGGAAGAGCCTGCGGAAGTCATCCTCCAGCGCTGCACCAATGATTGCGGCAATTGCACCAGAGTCGTGTGCGGCCCGCACACCTTTCCGATAGGGATTTCGGATAGATGCCGAGACCCGGCGCCGTGGATTTGGCGATAACACACCAGCGGGTCATTGGTGCACCGAGTGGGCATCATTGCTCGATTCTGGGGCCTCCTCAAGATCTCTCCCTCTGCAACATGAAGCTATCGGTGGGTTAGATTGAGCGGTTGCTGCACCCCCATATTCCCGTACCTTATCCGCCCATCTGATGCGGTTCTGAGGCACGCGACGGACGGGCATGGGATCTGTTATCGACGACCGCGACAAGCCGACCGCACGGATGGGGCAAAGATGGAGGGTGTGTTGATGCGCGCGGATTGGCAATACACGCATGACCTTATCCTGGTGATGATGCCGTCCATGAAGTACATATGCCGGCCTCGTGGCAGTTCTTCGAGAGCCTTGTTCGCTACCTTACCTTTCGCATCCATCACTACGACATCGTGAAGAATTTTATCCACTCGATCCGACATAATCGACTTCTTCGTCCGATATTCCTCAGGTCCCACTTACATCACCACCAACAGTCATCATCATGGGTTCTTTGCCGACTGCGGGGTGGAGGCAGCTCGACGTTGGAGTCGTCGGCGGTGGCATCGGCGGCATGTCCGTTGCGATCGCCCTCCGCCGCGCCGGCCACAAGGTCTCCATCTACGAGCGCAACGACTTTGCCGGAGAGGTTGGCGCCTCCGTCTCTTGTGCCGCGAACGGCACCCGCTGGCTGCACGAGTGGGGTGTCGACGTCCAGAAGGGTGACCCAGTCGTGCTGAAGAAGCTCATCAACCGCGACTGGAAGACGGGCGAGCCGGTCAGCGTGTACGACCTGGACGACTACGAGGAGCGCTGGGGATACGTTTACAACATGTTCCACCGTCAATATATGCATTCGATGCTCAAGGACACAGCCCTCGAGGAGGCCGGAGAGGGAGCGCCCGCCAAGCTGTTTGTTAACTACAAGGTGAGACATCATTACGGCCGACCTTGAAACATTGACGTTATTAACGTGTTTGGTGTAGTGCAAAGAGATGGACATCGCCGCCGGAAAGGTGTCATTCGAAAACGGACACTCTGCCACGCACGACTTGATCATCGGAGCCGACGGTATCGGCAGCGCGGTGCGGGGCCTCATCGGTGTGAAGCCGGCGAAGCGACCCGCCGACTCGAGCTGCCTCCACGCCAACGTCCTCACCGAGGATGCGGTCAAGGCCGGCCTCGTCGACTACTCGCAGGACGCCGCTCTCGAGTACTGGGGCGGCCAGGAGGGCAAGTGGGACAAGATTGTCCTCTCGCCTTGCAACGGAGGAAAGCTGCTGTCGTACTACTGCTTCTTCCCCAGAGACAAGGGTGACTACACCAACCAAGCTTGGGGCGTCGAGGACCGCCCCGTCGAGGAGTTGCTCGCTCCTTACCCTGAGTTGGATGCGCAGGTCAAGGCGCATCTCGCCATCGGCATGGACATCCAGCCCTGGCGTCTGTGGATGCAGTAAGTTTGCGTTTTCCTGGACTGAATGGTTGTCGAGACAAAGGTTGACGGCTTGGTAGCGACCCCTACCCTTACATCAGCAAAGACAAGGTCTGCCTGTTGGGCGATGCAGGACACCCTGTAAGTAAACCCCATCCCTGTTGACGAAATGACCGGCATCCCACTGACCAGAGAGCACAGATGATGCCTCACCAAAGTCAAGGAGCTTGCATGGCGATTGAGGATGCGGCTGCCCTTGGCATCCTCTTCCACCCCAAGTACTTCAACGGCGACGTGAACGAGACTCTGTCCATGTACAACGACGTGCGCCTGCCCCGTGCTACGAGGGTGCAGCAGGCTGCTGCGAAGGCCGCCTACAACATCAACGAGCGCATCGGTGAGTCGCGCATCATTGTCAACCACGAAACTTGACTCTTGACTCATGGGCCCTGTTATGTCTGACTTCTTGCATAGGCTTCTCCAGCAATGCCGACAGCTGCAGCACGTACAAGGTTGAGGATGAGAAGGCCAAACTCACCATCGAGGAGATGAATGCGTAAGTGACCGCATCCCGGAAGGTCGACTCGGGAGCCAATCAACTAACATCGTGGGTGCAGCTACGACATGTACAAGGACATTGAGGAGGTCATTGCGAAGAGGAACGGAACTGCGTTTACGCAAAAGTTCACCAAGGGCCTTCCCATCGGCCTCAAGCTCCCCAACGGAGTGATCATTGGGCAGTAGGTTTTCTGTCCTCGTTGGGTGGGGCTTTGTGGATTCATTTCGTCTTTTCGTGTACCTATTTTCTGGAGTTTTGGGTTGGATGGAACCTCGTGTGCGATACCAGCGGGCTATCTAGATTTTAAGGAGATGATAGGGAAAAAGAATTTTGGTGTTCTTGAAATTCTTGAAGAAGAGCATGGCAGGAGTCATGCCATGGGCCGTGCAGTTAGTTATGCCTATTTGTGAACGAGTTGTGATCGACATCGTGAAATGTGCAGACCACGGAGTCCACGAAAATATGGGCACGCAACTCAGTCTCCACGCGCGATGCACCCAGCCCAGCAGCGCCAGTTCTCCAGACCGGCGGCCACTTTACGCTTGAGAGACTTCCCCTCGCAATCTTGGAACGTTGATGCAAAATGTCACAGTTATATGGTAAGTGTCGCCAAATCGAGAGGCGAATGCGTTAGGCGCGCGATACCATGCGATGCAGTCTGCATCACGAACGTGGCCCAGCATTAGATGCTGCAGATGAGGCTGGCGAGCAAAGTTTTCAGCCAACCATGCATCGCCGTTTTGACTCCCACGGACAGGATCTCCAACGACATGGCCTCATTATCGCGGCCATGCGGTGAAGGGCCAGACTCCGCTCTCCCAGCATCATCGGACCTCACACCAGAAGAGGGGTAGTTGAGGCGAGAGAAAGACGTATCTTGCGGTACTTTGACAGCCCCAAGTTGACGATGTCGAGGAGGAATCACTCTGAAAAGACAACAAGACAGAGAGAGGCTCAAGGCAAGGCAAACACTCTCGTCGTCAATGTTTCATGCAACCAAAGGGCGGTGGATGCGATCGGCCGAATCTGTATGCAAACCCTGGTGACATCTGAAGGGCAACCAAGCAACGGCTCCAACGCGAACTGCGCTAAAATGTCACTGGGTGGAGCCCCTGGGAGAAATCTGCATGAGTTCCGAGCTCCCGGCGACCTTCGTCAACAGGGATTCTCGCACCAGAGAAAAAAATCGGCCAGGAAAGGTGCCTTGACGCGTCTGGCGACGAACCGGCCGTCGAGCGGTGAGGGCGGTCGTGGTGGTGGTCGACGAGGTGGTTGCGATTGTCTGTCCGTTGTCGCCATCCATCCATCCAATCCATCCATTTGCTGCCCAATGTCGACCTTCCATCTCGTTTAGACCCTGCTTGAAAAACTCATGGTTCAGGTAGTTGGCCAGCCATCTGGTGGGCCGTATCCTCGGCGATTCCCAGGCTCTGAATGGGCATTTCGACTCTTCGAGAGACTCACGGACGGCCAATATTGATTGTTCAACCGCCAACCAGTGGATCCTGATGGTCGTCGGGTCGAACCGACCAGCCAGAACGCAGAGTACATATAGATGCGCAGCCAGTCCTCAGGCTCGGGTCTGTTTTTATGTTCCTCTCCGTCTGATTCATATCAATCCGTTGTTGGTCCCGATACGATACCCACGAGCACTGCATTCCTGGCTGCTCCATCGTTGCTTTGGCGGCTTCTCTTTTCCTTGAAGCGTTGGCCCATTTTCAGTTTTGTTTTGCATTTTTTCCTGTTCAAGTTCCGGCCTTCGATACCCTTGCCCAAAATGTCTCCAGCGCTTTTCGACACCAGGAGGAGCAACTCCGTCTCCCAAGAAACCACCACCGAGCGCCGCAAGTCCAACGGCTTTCTGTTCCTGAACAACAGATTCAAGAGGTACGTCCTGATGATATATATCTATTTTCTTCGTTTCATATCCACGCGTCTTACTGCGTGTCTTTTCCCCTCCTCTCCTCCCCTCCCCTCCCCCGCCTCATTCTTCAAGACAATGGATGCAGTTGTCTTGGGACACGCAAAAAGCGGCCTTCTTCACCGCTCTTCATGCTCCTCTTCGCTGCCCCTGGTCAAGTTGCCAGCATGTGCTCGCTACCCCTGGCTCTACGCTGGACCCTTCGCCCCGCCGTGACAGGCCCCGGCTTGGATGGGCGGGCGCCGCGGCTTCAAAGACTCCCCACCAAACACCACCAAACGGAGCGTGCCTTGTGGTTTTCCAACGGCCAACGCTTCGTTTCGGATTTCGGGCCTGTCGAGTTGTCGGGTCCTGCATGTTTGACGTGTCTCTGCCCACGATATCCCAACTCCCATCGTCATCGACACCTAATGTCGCCACCTCCAATCAGCTTCCCTTCCATGTCTCTTACACGGGTGTTCGTAGTCCGCCAACACCACCCGGGGGCGACGCGCCCGACTCCTTTGGCCGCTATCGTGACTGGCCCGATGTCCATCATGCCTCCACGACAGACCCTCAAGGAGGGCGTCCCCTTTCTCCCCTCGCGAGACACCCCATCATAAGAGTGATGCCTCGACGGCCATCAGTCCCTCCCAGAGTCTCTTCCCTTCGGTAGCCAGCGTCCTTTTGCTTCGCCCTCATTTTCCATGCCTCCTCTACCATTCTGCCTCCCCCACTTCTCCATTGCGAAGAAGCACCTAAACCGGCCCAAGTTATTACGGTTGTCTCATACCAGGATGACTCAGAGTCTTTGTGTCTAACATCTTGTAACAGAGCTGCCACCACAAAGACCACCAACGAGAACGCCACCTCCACCCCCCCGACGCCCACTTTCGGCCCGGTCAAGGATGGAGCCAACGGCAACGGCAATGGCTTTTTCAAGCGCACCGACTCTTCGCGGAGTATCCCGTCTCTGGCTCAGGTTGGCAACGACGAAGCTCCCGCCCAGCGACCCATGACCGCCATGCCTGGCCGTGAGAAGCCCTTCCTTGAGAGCAACAAGGAGCCCGTGAACGGCGAGAAGAAGGAAACCAACGGCGCCTCCGAGGTCGATCCCAAGGAGGAGCCCAAGCCTGCTGCTGCGCCTGCGCCGGAGACAAACGGCAACGGTGCCGAGCCTGCTTCCGCGGCTGATCACCTCAAGGTTGAGAGCACCGCCGACGCCCACCCCACCGAGGACGAGGGTGAGTCATCCTCTGACGAGGAGGAAGAGGAGGACAAGAACGATGCCGAGGCCCAGGAGTCTCAGGGTGCTCAGCTTGCTACCCGTGCCGTCGTCGTTCCCGCCCGTGTCCCTACTCCTGAGGGCGACAGGAAGATCTCGTATCACGAGGATACCGACCTTCACATCAAGGTCCGCGATGCCAGCGGTGTTCCCACCGTGTTCTCCGTCCGCGCCGCGGCTCTCGCCACCGCCTCGCGCGTCTTCAGGGATCAGCTCGCGGGCAACACCGAGGGCATCATCGAGCTCAACTCTGCTGCCGACACCACCAGCGGCCTCGACACCCTCTTCTCGATCGCCCACTTCAAGTTCCACCAGCTCCCCACCAGGCCCAACGTCGACGTCCTCTACGACCTTGCCCTGGCCTCCGACAAGTACGCCGCCACGCATCTGCTGGTGCCCTTCATGAAGGACTGGATCGTCTCCCTGAACCGCCACGTCCTCATGGCCGGCGCCCGCAACGACGAGGACAAGACCCTCGTTCTCAGCTGGGTCTTTGGCGAGGCTCGCTGGTTCAGCCGCGTCCTCTCCAAGGCTGCCTATAAGTCCCGCCTGGGTCCTGACGGCACCCTCCAGGACTCCAAGGGCCGCCCCTGGAAGGAGCAGCCCATCTCCGAGGAGGTCATCGCCATGCTGACCGCCACCCGCGCCGAGGCCATCGACAAGATCATCAAGGCCGTCAGCAACCCCGTCCACCGCCTGCTCAACCCCTCCTGCTACCCCGGCGAGGAGATCCGCTACTGCCACGCCGGCACCGACGACGGCACCGTGGAGGACTGCGAGCAGCTCCTACTCGGATCGGCCATTATGGGCCTGACCAAGGCGAGACTCTGGCCCGCTCCCGAGCCCGCCAAGATCAAGGTCAGCGCCGTCGAGCTCGCGAGAGCCTACGGCGAGGTCCGCATCCGTCGCTACCAGACCCCCGGCCTGCGCTTCAGGGACAGCCAGCCCGACGGCGCGCCCGTCGAGGACCTCCACGCCAAGTGCGGCTTCGCCCACCGCGAGGCGCTCGAGAAAATTCTGAATACGCCAGCCAAGGTCGGCTCCGGAGTCGTCAGCCAGCTGATCACCCGGGCCAAGAAGTCCGGCGCGTTCGGCGAGGATCTCTTCTCCGACCTGAAGGAGTATGTGCAGGATGACGGCGTTGCTGTTGAGGGCGAGGACCTGAAGACGGACCCCGTCCACTACAAGCAGGTCCGTGACAGGACCAACGGCGTACTTGGCAGCAAGGTTCCGGCTGATGGTAAGCTTTCTCCCGCCGAACAAGCTCTCGCAGCGTAGTATCCGTTCTAACAGCGCTTAGATGATGACGAGGAGGATGACGAGGATACCTCCAGCTCCGACAGCGATGATGAGTAAACGATGATTAGAATGCTGGGTTTACGGATGTTAAGCGTTATGGAAATGTGTTTCGTTTGTTCGTGATGGTTTATGGCTTGCAATGTTCTCGTTTGTATATGATGGCTCTCAACATGATTCATTATGATCAATACCCTTAGATTGTCTCTAGATCTTATATCATCTGTTGCATGATCATGACACCGTGTTCACTCCGCTCTTGACCATTGACGTGACGGGTGAGCCGGGATCTTGGTGATCCCTGAACGTTTCGTGTGCAACTCGACGCGAAGGCATCTTGAGATCATTATCACTCCGTCCCGGCAAGTTGAAAATCACATTTCTTCCCTAGACGTAATTTTGAAAGTGTCCAAATCACCTCCTGCTTTGCCATTTCTGCATATTCAAAAACACATACGTCTATGAGGGAGATGAAATCTTACGCATTACTTGACGGAAACTGAGCATGATACCAATTCGCCATTCCCCTGCTCCTCACGATATCCTGTCGCGAACGCAATCATTGCCGCATCTGCCACCTGCTGACATTTTGTCGTCTTGGCTTATCCTTTTACCGCTTATTTCCCTCGAGTGAAGAAACGAGTGAAGCGAATAGGGAAGCTTCCGGAAAAATGTCCCTCAGCACATGCACGTCATCAGATCAC